TTCTTTATATAAAGTAACAACATGAAGGCCAGGAATGAACGAAGGAACAAATGAACAAACAAAACAAATGCATAAATATTTCTAAGAAATCCTTTCACATTTTCTGTAAATATAAACTCAGATAAACATAAATTTTGAAAATGATAGGGATAAACTTTTAGGAAAGGAGAAAATCAGTAGTAGTATAAGCATCCATCAGGATGGTAGTTAAACGACAATGGCTTTGCCAGCATATTTGCTTATCATTGAAGTTGTTAGCTTTATATTTAGTAGTGACAGTAGGTTCAAAAGGCACATATACTGAGATACAGCCCTTATCATTTCTCTTTCTGGCCACCTGACAACTTTTCAAATTTGCAAGCTGAATGCTATTCATAGCATTTCAGAAAAATAGTTTCCTTAACAATGAAGGAGCCTACTTTCCTGTTCTCATTTTAAAAGCCTGTATATTTTCAGAAGCAGAAACATACACCAAGACAAAAATGATAGAAATCACTCTGGCCCCAATTTTGCCAAATACACATTACTCACCCCATTTATATGTAAATCACATAACTACCATGATATATATAATCTAAGCATCACATCAGTGCAGAATATTCCTAACTATTCAAGCTTCAGCAGTGCTTAGTATTCAGAGTTCTGTGACCCACGGCAAATGGAAAGGAGCCAGAAATCACAATCTTTCCTGCAATGGGAGCCTGCATTTTAATGATGGAAGATTAATGAGGGCTTATTTTGATAGGATTAGTTATTGAGCAGCAAACTCAGTTTGGGATCTCATTACCAAAGTGCCCATCTTTGTCCTTGATGAGTCCTACTAGCCTTATTGTTATTGGAAATGTAGAAAGTCACTTAAACAACTGTCTAAAAGGTAGAACACTGAAGGCAATCATTCGAAAAAAAAAAAAAAAAAGGAAAGACTGTACATACAAACTAATAAAATATGTGATTATTAATGGAAGAAAAATGTCAGAAAAATTCTCCATTTCATCACAACTCTCCCACCATTATTCATTGCCAATAATCTCTATGTTAAAAACATCAAGTCTGTTTTCAAAATTAAATTTAAAAACAGTTTCAACATTTTCATATTATCTAAAGACCTGAGAAATAGGCCAAAATCACCCCACAATAAACAAACAGAAAAACAGGACTAAAGTTTTTAAAAAATAATTTCCCTATTAAAAATTAAACTCTGTTAAATACCTTTTATTTTTGCCCTTTCTCTGTGATAAAATATAGTGTAGAAAAGGGAATTTTCTCCAGGTTAAGATTTATTCTCTTTCCCCTCCCTTCTCTTTGTTAATTCTAGGATTCTCAACAGTGACATAACTGTACCCTAGAGGATGTTTGGAAATAAATATAGAGTGTCCAGAAATACAAGTAAGCATTTTATTGTCACAATGATCAGGAGATTATTACAGGCAATCACTAGCTGGGGGCCAAGGATGCTCAGCATTTGCCACAAACTTGATGTTCTTATCCTACAAGGAACTGTCCCTCAACCCATATGATGCATGGATGTCTCATAAGACTATCACACTATATATGTAAATGAATATTACTTTCACATAACTAGTATTAAAGTTTTTACAAGAAGTTATTCAAAAGTGCCCCAGTAATTACAGGAGGGAATCATAATGGAGAGGGAAGCATAAATAAAACAAAAATATTATATCAAAATTATTGAATTATTGAATAATTAGCTCACCCTACGTAGCAACACATTTAACAAATAGTAATGTACCATTCACTCAGATTTAACTAACATTAACATTTTACCACAAGTGCTTTGAAAATTTTTTAAATCAAAATAGTATATTATCAATAGAGTAAAAAGTCCTTTGCTACCATTCCTTAATTTTAATTCTCTTTTTTAAATACTATATTTTGTACTTTCTATAATCTCTGCAAGAACTCCTTCCTGGATGGAAATTATAAACATGACATTTCATATTTACATCTTCTAAGTCAATTTAGAACTTATTTTTATGTATGGTGTGAAGTTGGAGTTGATACTCAATTGTATCAGGACCATTTATTCAATAATCATTACTTTTCAAGTTGATTTATAAAGCCACCTCTGTCACATACCAAATTCCATATCTGGGTGGGTCTGTTTTGTGGTTTCTGTTTTACTAGCTTATATTAATATATCACTGCATTAGTTTTCTTTAGGTTAATATTACCTGATATATTCTTTTTAAAAAATCTCCTTTTGACCAATATCCTTACATTTTTATGTTTATCTCTTATAAATAGCATATAGATAGATCTTTAAAATTATTGAAAAATTTCCTTTATTAGGCAATCTTCTTAGCCTATACTTTCTGTATTTTTAGAGGGTTGGTTGATTTTCCTTCGTTCCATAACCCTCCTTTCTATTTGAAAGTGATACATTCTCTTTCTGTTCTTTCAGTGATTACCATTAAAATTTTAACATGCATTCTTGTACTTACACATTTCTTGTGAGCAGAGATACTAACTGCCCTCTGTTTTGGATTATATTTTCAAATATGTTTGTATAAAAATAGCCTTGGTAAATAGAGATAGAGTCTCTTTTTGCAGCAATACACAGGTTTTCTAATACTCCTGGAAGAAAAAGATAGTCTCTCTCCAGGGTAAAGGAAAGATACTTATTTACCATAAAAAAAAAAATTCAAGTTTCCTAAACTCAGAGTTCCTCTCCTATAATGCAATCCACTGTATACACAGGTATCATCTGGACCCTCTGTGTTGTTTCTATGGGACTTGGAAGCAAGGAAAATCAAGACAAATACGCTAATGCTCATGCTGCTTGCTTTGCTGTGAGTGATAAAGTCCTTTATCTCTGACACAGGAGTGCTGGGTTTTCTGCTAGTATCCATGAAACAGTAACAGGCTCATTTATTAGCTTTTAAGTAGGGTAAAATCAAATCTCAGACCTGAAAGGATCCCTGAATTGATGTTTAAATATAACGAGCATATTTATTTTACCCTCAAATAATGCAAAATCGTCAGAGCACTTTCAAGTTGAAATTCCACTGACTCTCATCTTTCATGTTGTTAGCCAGAATTTTATCTTTATCTTGCTATTAGCCTTTCCAAAACTGATTTTATGTATTAACATTCAATAGTCATTGCTTAATAGATTTCAAAATTGTGAGGATTAGATGAGTGTTTAAAGAGGGTTAGAGCAGGGCTTGGTACACAGTAAGTACTTAATATATGTTCACATTATTATGTTTTAACAATTTTTTTTGCTTGCCACTTCTCGTATACCATACTTCTTCAGAGTTTAATTTTTCTGGTTAACCAAAGCAAAGATAAATTATTTTTCCTTTTGTGGTTTTTAAAATACCGTCTATGTTCATGAATATGTCTAAGGATTTTATCAGACTATCTTTATATTCCATACATATTTTTCTACATAAATGATTTTTGTCAGTCTAAAGCACTGACTAAACTAATGCAGTTTTGTTTAGCCACTGAACATAATTAGGTGCTTTCAAGAGAATTTTTTGAAAATAACTATCCCTTTTTTTAGTCTGTATCTTGGTACTTTATCCTCAAAAATCAAACACCATTATCAACTTGGCAATCAGTTCCTCTATAATTTCTTCAACTCTAGCCATAACATTTAATCTAGTATTGTCTTGTGTTATGTATCACATTTATAATTGAAGCAAGAAAGGAGGGGTTGAATAAAAATGAATACTTAATATGATATCTATATTGGTTAATTATTCACAAGGTTTTTTTTTTAATCTCTATCCATAATTACAAGACGTGTTCTTATTTTATTTCTATTTGTTCCATGCTCTGTATATTTTTTGAGAGCCCTCATTAGATAAGTCATGTATTCAAATAAAAGGTACGTCTTCATAGGCCTAAAAGCAAAAGACATTGTATATGTCAAGGATGGCAGGATGTCTACTCTAGGCCTGATGATCATGTCACAGAGAGATACAGTGCAACACAAAGAGCAATGAACTAGAAATAAGTACACCTATATTTCATTCTCTATTCTTCCACTGGAAGACGAATCAGAATGGGGGCCAGGGGTTCTCAAACGATACAAGTTAACATATTAGTTCTGAGATTATTTAGTTTTGTTACCTTTCCAAACACTGAATTTCTTATCTATTAAAAGCTGAAATTATCTGCTTCATACACCTTACAGATTTGTTTTGAGAATCAAATGAAATGTTTATGAAAGTACTTTTAAACTTCAAAGCACCCTGCAAGTATTCATACCATAAATGTTATTGTTAACACTTTAAATGTATTAGTAGTTTTAATATAAACATTTTTCACCTCAATCTTACCATCAACATACTGTTTCTGGATATGTCTTAAAAGGAAAGGCATGATCAGGAAACAAAGAAGGTTAAGATGGAATAAGGAGACTGCTATCTCAAAAAGGGTTTTGCTTTTTTTTTTTTTTTCAGGTTTACAACAACCAATGATACTGTATTCCAATCACCTTTTTAAAAAGATGTTTGACTCCATGTCACATAATACAAATGAGTAACAGGCTAAGCTATACCCTGGCTAACTTTTGAGAGTCAACTATGACTTCTGATTTTATATGAAATTACCAGAAAAGTAATGAAGTAAGTCAAAATCTGACAGAGCTTCCAAGGCAATATATCAAGCAAAACACAGAAGCAGCTACTTAAGAACTTCAAACTTCCTCTTCTTCAAAAACAACCCTGAATATCATAAAATCCGAGTGAAAACCACTGACGGCACAATTTAATACAACACTAATACTAACAGGTTTTTCAAAGTAATTTGGTAGTACCAGGAGAAATAAGATACTTTCCCTTTACTTCTCGTGAGAATGTAAGACGTAACCATCCAAACTATATAACAGAAGGCTACAATTAGTAGCAGGAACTTGGTTAGATACATGGACTTCTTATGACAACAAAATTTTAAAAACAGTAGTCTGTTATGCTGCCAATTTCAGCTTTATTTTTTACCTCATTTTTCTTAGTGCACCAAGTACTTACATCTGGAATAAATCCAATCTCATTGAGATGATTGCTTAGCTCTGGATCATGGAATGCAATCATTTGAGAGAACACAGTCAGATACTCTGAAAACACAATAAAGTTTAAGAAAATCATTGTTTTTACATGGTATTTCAAATAAAAACATTAAATCCACATAAATTACTATTTTATTTACATTTTGAATGAGATTTAGTTTCCCTGTGAAGAAAATATACTTCAATAGGTAATTTCTGTTTTGTTACCACTTTAACCACTTATAGCTAATTATTAAACAAACATAAAAAGCTATGCAACAACTTATTTTCTACCTTCAGAGCTGTCAGTTCATTTCTTGAATCACAAATTATTCACATGATGCATGATGTTTTCCTATTAAATTCAACAAATATATTTTCTCTAGTGATAGTAAATCTCCCTCTCATTTATTATTTCTTCAAAAAGTGTAAGATACTTAAATAAGGAACAACACAGCCACAAATAGAATAATTATGCCTTAAATTTGTTTATATATACAGATATAGGCCGTTGTTCCAGTTCTAATTTATTGCCATCCAACTTTGCATTTGGCATATTTAGGAATAAGAATTAACATCATGTTAATCCAAAAATAGGCACACAGTAGGCAATTAAAATATCTGCTGTTGACTCTAACGCTATTCTAATTCATAGGAGTTAGCTGGAATATGAGGAGTACTTCCTATTTTTTCCATTATTTCCACAAATTACTATCCTTGCCAATTTACATACTATGTACTAATTTAAACAAGATATAGGCAACAATCAACTCAAGGGCAAGTGACCATCACATTTTTACTAATTAAAAACACAAAATTAACACATATTTCAAACAGCTTAACTTTTTTTCTTTTTGATACTGAAATGACAATAACTCAAGAAAGTTTTCCCTTAATAACCTCAATTTCTTCCTTCAATAACATAACAGATTTATTTATCAAACCAATTATTTGGTGAAAATAACCTCTAAAAATAATGTCTGCTTTTCTTATTTAGTTCTCAAAGTTCTTTATTTTTAACATTTCAAGAAATGGTCCAAAATCCTCAACAATCTGTTAGTGTAAATAGCCTTCCTCCTTTTCTCAATTAAAACTTTGCTTCTAATGGACAGTATGTATTTTATAATTATTTGCTTATAAGCAACATCACATATTTTACAAAGAGAAGCATCAAGGCCAAAAAGAAAAGACAAGGAGGTACTGTATTCAATGCCCTGATAAATTTTTATTCCAGATGAAACGTGAGCTTTTACCCACAGGGTGCTGGATAAAGAATGAGTATTTGATTAATACTTTTTCCTGATTTGATATTTATTCTACTGCAATAAATTCATTCTATCAACTGTCTCATCTTTTGCTCTAAGAACAAGAAAGGTACAATTCACATCAGCTTCAAGAGTTACAGATAAAAGTGAAGACTTAGGACAGAACCCAAGGGCCAAGGAACTTCTGGGTTTAACTTCTAACTTTTTTCCCTCCTTCCAATTAGTGGTGGTATGTTTATAGACCTAACCTACCCAGAAGCCAGAAGTAAGCAACATCAACAATCATAAGCATTCAACTTTATGTCGATGAAAGCATAGTTATTAACTTTTTAAAAGCACGCTTCATTTTAAACAAGAAAATCATGCCTCTGGCAATTCTCCATAGCTATACCTATGATTATTAAATATCTTTCTTATTTGAGCCTGATAAAAGATAATTACTATGTGGGATTACACAGCTAATTAAGGTTATACTGAAGAAACCTAATTTATTATGAAAACATTTTCCTTGTGCTCTGCCAAACACTGATGGCCAGATTTATATATGATATGTGTCATAACTGCATGTATATATAAAATACACACAAATACATATTTATGTATAAAATACATACAAATACGTGTATACATTTATTTTGTATATTACTAAATACTATATATTATTTCATATATGTAAATATAAATTGTGAGGCTGGCATACTTTTTGGTTGCTAAGGACAGGCTTTGGAATGAGATATATTATGTCTTGTTATATTTAGAAAAATTTCTTTAAAGGGGAGATATTACAGAAGTGATGAAATCAGCACGGTGTCAGATTTCAAGTTATTTCAAAAGTGTCAAAAAATTCCCTGGGGCAAATAAAAAAAAAAATGAAATGCACATGTCCTCTGATTTATAAACCAACCTGAGAGAATTTAGGAGGAGCTACTGAAAACAGACAGTAGTCAAAATAAAACAAAAGATTCCATGGATATTACTGCTGATTCTTTTAAAATGTTCACAAAATACTGTGTGATTTATTATAATAAAGATTTACATCTACAGCTATAAAATGACCCCTCAAATAGTATTTTCTAACTAATAGGTGAACTATGTAAGGGTAAATGTTATCCTTTAAAAAAATTGGAGGTGGGGTGGATAGCTCAGTGGTAGAGCACATGCCCAGCGTGGATGAGGTTCTGGGTTCAATCTCCAGTACCTCCATTAAAAATAAAGACATAAATAAATCTAATCCCCCACTCCCCCCCCCAAAAAAAGAACCACAAATAAAATTAAGGTATTTATCAAATTTCCTCTTAAACTTCAAGTGAGGTTTAATATTGCACTATGGCACAAAATCATGTCTCATATAAATTTTCTATTTTAATGAAACTTTCTATCTTTGAATTTTTTGCAATGAGATATAAAATTAATTCATCTTTTTCCTTGAGTCTCACCATATTAAAAATTCTTATTCTTCTCCTCTACAACAGCTTTTTTATTTATTACATACTTTTAAATGATAATTCCCAAAGAATTCAGTGTAAGGATTTTATATGGCACTATCATATTTTTGTGCAGCTATTTATAAACAAGCCATCTATTTCTTTTTTTAAATTTTCATAAAATAGATAAAGAGATATTTCATTAAGTCCCACACATGGGTATCCTTATTTTTTCCTTTCTGACCAGTCTTTTCTGCTTTCATCCTCTTAGCAGGGGTAAGGAGAAGATGAAGAATCATGGGTGACAGATCTAAAGTAAAAAGGTTTCCTCTGCTCACAAATAATAAATGGCATTCTCAATTCTGTAACTATTTGTTATTTTCCATCAGGTTGCTAGTTTATCCTGAAGATGATAAGTATAGATAAACATACAGAGGAGCTACTGAAAAACAGACCAATAGTCAAAATGAATTTCTTGTCAACTAAAAAGTGCCCAAACTAAACCATCTGGTGACATTTTGACTCACTGTATTCAAAACAAGCTGAAGTTATTTTATTGTAGGCGACCCCAAATTAGATTATTTCCTGTTACAAATTTAACGAGCTGTAAAATTTGGCTTACTGTCTAAAGCCACAAGAATAAGCATCAACTTTTATGTCTAAATGGGAAGAGGGGGTTTCAAAAGAAGAGAAAGGTAATTTTCTGAACTGCATTTGTGAGCCATTTTAGTTTTTGCTCACATACTCCACTCTAGTAAAAAATCTACAAGCAAACTTAATAGTTCTTATATTATTTCTAGTAAAGTTAGAACATTTTCTGTCTCAGGGAAAATTTCCTTAGTCATATGATGCAAGACATTCTTGAAAATGCTCAATGTATTTCCTACTATTTCCCAATATCCTACCATTAAAGTCATCCATGACAAAGATGGGCATTAAAACCAGAAATATGCAATGTACTGTTTCTCTGAATATATAACCCTTACAGTGAGGTTGCATGTTCTTTCTCACTCTTTGTTATTGTTTGATGAGAAAGGAGTATTATAATATACCCCATTTGACAACTGGACTTTAGACTTTGATGTTTCTCTTCTTTCTTCCCACCCCCTAAAAGACTTACTGAATGTCTATGTGTAGTGTGACCATGTATCCTAGTTTATCTGGGAGAGTCCTGGTTGCCACCTGCAGACTCAGTATCTGGTGCCTTTAGTGCCCCTTTAATCCTCAAAAATATCACAATTTAGTTAGACAGTTATCCTAGCTATGTGTGGCACTACGTTAAATGCTAGGGACGTCACAGTGAAGACGATACTGCCCTTGCCCCCAAAGGATTTAGGAACACATACAGGTAAGCAGAAAATAGGGGAAATTTTCACACAGTTTTATTTCCCAAGTTTATAAACTATTTCCTTCTATCTTTCCCTTTCTGACTTGCAGGAACTACACCTTTTAATGGTCCAAGTGTGACTATGCCTTGGTTTTATAAACAGTGCAAGGATATGTTTAACATTTTGGTAAAACTGCACCGGCTGTTTTGGTGAACAATACACAGTACAATGACTTCAAAAAACAGTTTATAAGTTTCATAGGCCAGTTTTCTGAGGTTCCTTTCTTAAGGGCAAAATGGCATTAAGGTTTAGTTGGGTTTTCCATGAAGGATTAGTTTCCACTCGTAATAACTAAATGGCTGTTTCTTGTCACTGGCCCGAAGCTGCCTTTTTTCTCTTCAAAGCCCTGAAATATGTCTGTCCTGCAAGTTATAAGCATGTTTTCTATCACTGAAATTCTAACTAATCTATCCCTTTTAAATTCCTCCATATTTTTCCAATCCAACTGGTACTCTAAGGTTCTAAATCTAAGAGTAATTTTAGTAATTTTAGACAATCTTGGGGCCAACCCTGAGTTATGTAATCATATAAAATTCCTATGTGTTTGTCCTTTATCAACTCAACAGTAAGTTTACTGGGTATAATTTGATAGTGCCAAAAATGATTTTGAATGCTCATTTAGGCAGAAGTAATTAAATTTATTATCTTCTTAAAAATGTCTGCAGGTAATAAGTTAATAGGACCATGGTTAAAAAACAAACAAAACAGAATTATCTTGACTAATAAGATCGTTTTTCTCTCTTCTGTAAGAGGCAAAGCATTGAGTCTTATGAGTATGTAAATATTCTATTTTATGTAAAACTTTAAAATTAAAAAATTTTTAATTTCTATGAGGATATAATTACAAAAATAAATGTTTTTTCCAAGAAAATTTAATGTTGCTATTGAATATGGAAACTTTTGGTTTCTGTCGAGTCAATTAAATGACTAAATAAATACGAAGTATTACAATTAGCTATTGAATTGACTGGTTTCATATGATGTAGGATTTT